CCTCCTGCCTGCAGAGTGCAGAAGCCTATTCATTGGTTTCAGGTTCTACTCTGCCCTCCTCTCATCCACTACTTCCTAACAACCAGGATCATTTAAACGAAGGGCTTGTATTTCCTTGTTTGTGATCGTGTAAGGGCTTGTCTTTCACTTAGAGCAACACATGGCCCTCACATCAGGACCGACAGAGACAATGGGTCCCGGGCAACCCGCACCTCTTGTCTGACCCTCTGATCTCTTCCTTCTCCCTCATTATACCACCAAGCTCTTCCCTTACACTCCTTGGCCTCCTTTTGTCATCTGAGGGATCATCTTCCTCCCACTTCTATCCCTGTGCACCAGAATGGCTCTGCTCAAGATGTCTCTATGCCCAAACCTCTCATAGCATTCAGGTCTCAATCAAATCTTACCCTCCCTGAGAGTCCAGTAAAAAGTAGTCCATGTCTTATGTGTCTGGGTTGTGTATTCATCTCAGTTTTGTTCATTTTTTCTCTAATTATTTACATAGGTCTCACCCTGCCAGAATGTCAAATTCTCAAGGGCAGTGACTCGTCTGTTTTGCTCACTGAGCCACCTTGTCTCCGACAGTGCACAGCTGACGCTGGGGCCTGCTGTGGGTCAGCTGAGCCCAGGCTCTTGTCCCTGGGAGCTGCTGACACAGCGAGAAATCCAAAGACGTGATCCTTGCATTCATGTTTCCCAACTCAAGACATACGATTCCCCTATGACAACACCCCTCCCCATGAAGTGAGCAGTTATAGCTTCATCTATGCTGTGCCCACCTACTACAGTGAGTTGAGGTCCCCAGTCACTGAGAACACCCAGTCCAGAGCAAATCTCCATTTCCTTAGACCCCTATCAAGTTACACAAACAAGGGCAAACCCTATTTAGTTTCTTTCTGACACCCTTGGCCTTGAGGCACTGTAGCTCCCCATGCTGTGTGTTCTCTCGCAGCAACAAGTGCTAAACCCAGTTCAGATCCAGCATGTTTCTTGTGGTTGTGGCTCACAGCAGGGGCCTCCCCATAGCCCAGCACCCCCGATGTATACTCCTTTAGCTGTTATAGAGCAACCCCGATATTAAACGGGTTCCTGGCTGTGGGTCCTCACCCGCGCGCTTTAAAGGGACTTATGAATACTCTACTACAGACACACACAAAAGGGTTAATAAAAGGTTTATTTACAAGAGGAAAGGAAATAAGGAAAATGTACAACTCAGGGAGAAAATAGGGAAATAAAGTCTTTAATGCGTCCTACCCGATCCGACGACCTGGAAACCCAAAGTCACTCCCAGAGCTGGCCGGAGGCTCCGCGCTGGCCCAGAGCCCAAAATGGAGAGAGCCCCCAAAGCCCACGTGTCTGCCTTTTGTATCCACCTGGCTGCTTAACCCCACCCTCAGGTCCCAGCCACCTTCCCTTTGGTGGTGATGGGATTTGGAGTTCCCAGTGTCTTTGGCTTTGACCTGGGGTGGGGGTGGAGTCCACAAAGCCTGTATGGAATTTGCTTTGGGACCGCCTTTTCCCCCTAACACTTTCTTCCCATCATTGTCAGACCCCATCATTGTCTCCATCCTGCAGGTGACCCTCCCTCCCATGACTTTCTTCTCACTCAATATCTCAAGAATTCTCCTCCAAACCCCACTCACTGTCAGCCTCACCCCAGTGCACCCTGTCACTGGGGAAGCTCTGAGACCTGCCCTACAGGAGTTTCCTAGCATGACCTCTGATCCTAATGAGGGGGGAGATGGGCTGCTCACCCGGAGGATTATCTTCATCTCCTCTGAACCAGACACAGTGAAGCAGGAGCCTAGAGTGGGGTCAGAGGGCGTGGCTTGTGTATTTGCACAAACTGGAACTATTGGGACCTCCCTGCTGGCGCAAAGGGTTTAGATGCAACCTATGAAGCTATCCACAGCCACTTCAGCATGAGTTTGAACCTTTCCTGACTCACTCACGCTCCCGTCAGCAGTGCACTTCAGTTGATCTGCCTATTCTGTTCCCCACTCGGTCTCTGGTGAATCCTCTCACCCCCCCAGGCCTCTAGCCTGTACCCCAGTTCTTGTATGCATAAATAAATAAATCTTAAACAAACAAACAAACCAACTGGAACTGCTTTTCTTTATCATCTAAGGTCTAAGGGGCAAAGAGAACAGTGGTCAAGGGAGGAGGGGCTTCTGGCTCAGAGATTCTGCCCTTTGTTCTGAACATGGTCTGAGTAAAGTGAGGAAGGGCTCCTGCGTGTTTGTGTGGATGGAAGGGTCTATACCACCCCTGCCTCCCACACCCCATGCCCTGCCACACAGGAGCCCACACTTGTCCTCTGCTGTGCTCAGGGTGGGAATCAGGTCACTGTAGAGAAGGTGAGGGTGGGGGAAGGTGACAGTCTGGGCTGGGAGCCCTCCCATCTTTTGACCTCTGGAAGGGCTGTCCAGAGTACAGGGATGGAGCAACCAACTCATGTAGAGACGTTAGGGAGACAGGACAGCAGTGTGGGGCTGAGCAGGACGATCCACCCATTTAGAGGCTCCTACTTGGTAGAGACCCATTCTTATTCCCAGTGGACCCATCCTAGGGGCTCTCTGGGTGCACTGGTGTCTGCAGCATGACCTGGCCTTTCTGGTCTGAGTATCACCTTCTGAATGGTGCAGTCATTTGGGATCAGGTAGAGATGGAAGTTGATTTCATGAGGACAGAGGTGATGGTAGAGCATCACAGTGGGGGTGATGGGAATGAAATTCCTGGTAACTGGGAATATTCTCAGTAGGACTCCCATGGGGGAGAAGCTGGGGCTCTCAGTACCACGTAACATGCCTGCATCCTGACTGGCTCCTCCAGCAGCATCCCTTCCTCTTTGAAGTGGGCCACATGGAATCGGGAGATGTCCACATTGTCGCCTGTCAAGGACAGGATTTGAGAGGTGAGGACGTGGTGCCCTCACTTGGCAAGCTTGGCAGACAGAGGCAGGTGTCCCAGGATGCAGGCCTTCCTGTGTGACCCATCAGGTGAGGCAGCTTGTCTGGAACTGGGGTTTTTGGGAGCTGAGGGCAACACCATCTCTTGGGTAGAGCACCACAAGCAAACCCTGGAGTGACACTCACACCTAGGACCAAACCGTAGTCCTGGAGCTGAGAAAGAGCTTGGTTCCCTGGTGACAGGTGCTGGGGTGCCTTTGTAATTATGAAGATTTGGAGTGATGCTGGTAGATTTGACTCCAGACAGGTGGGATAAGGAGGACACAAGGACATTGGGGAAATAGAATGATCCAGGGCTTTGTACATTTATCAAGTGTTTGGTAATCATTCAGATCCACTTTTCAAACTCTTGTTTTGGGGATCGAACCCCCTCTTCTGTCCTCCACCATTATGTGGTTTCTGGCAGGAAGAAGGTCGCACCTCCCGCTGGGAAGCTGACCTTCCTGCAGATACATGTGCGACACCTTGATAAGTTTATGCCCCTAAGTAGGACCTTGAGGCAGGGAAGCACAGATGAAAAGTCAGGATGGTTTTGGCAGCAGCAGTGGGGTCAGGGGTCTGTGAGCACCATGGAAGGATAGTCTGGCTGTAGCTGTTTCTGCAGGAGTGGTCTGTCTATATTTTTCTTGGCGTTACCTTGCCGATGTTTTGGTTTCTCAGCATTCTTACTTACCTAAGGCTCCCAGCCTTTCACTACAAGCTTGTTGCCTAATCTTTTGTTAAGCGTGCAAGCTAGCCCCTATCACCTGATACATTCTTTTCTGCCTAAATCAACCAGAATTGATTTGATTGCAAGACCTCTGATGCCACAGACAGATTTGCCATTTGCTATGACTGGCATTTCAATTCTCTCTTTCTTTTAAATCCTTACTTGTCAAGATTATTACTGTCAATTACAGTCAATGTTTTGCAATATATATACCTATATATTTCTCAGTATCTTTGCTAATGATTCTGCCTTACAGCTCTTACCTTCCCTGTGGGCTCTTCTTTTGCCTGAGAACATTCTTTACCATTTTTTTTTTTTTTTTGGTGAGGATTCATTTGTGAAACATGTTTTAAAATATCTATTTTGCTTTTGTCTACTTAAGGCAAAATAGACATTTTAAAATGTCTTCTTAAAAAGTGAATTCTGCCTTTAATACTTGATGACAATTATTTTCTTACCACAGTGATATATTTCATTGTTTTCTGCCCTCCATTGTTGCTATTTAAAAATCAGCTCAGTACAATTGAAGTACCTGCTGGATACTGTCAGGTTGCTATGAAGACTTCCTTAGATTTGGTGTTCTTTAGTTTCTATAAAATGGGTGTATTAGTCCTCTCTCTCTCTCACTTTTGTTTTTCTATTTTGTCATTCTAACAAGTCACATCTTTTGGCAATTTTGGAAATTTCCTTGAATATCACGTCTTCTCTATTTTTCTTTATATCTTTCTGGAATTCCCATTCAATTTTAGGTATTTCTATGATGCCCTTCACAATATTTCATTTTCTACTTTACAGTTTATCAGATTTTCTGTCAATTTAGTTTGTTTCAAGACTTCATTTATCAATTTTCATTGGTATATTGCTTCTTGCTCATGTTTTACAGACCATTTCTCTAAGCATTTGAAATGTTTATTATGTGTCATGTTGCTAGGAATTTCAATGCGTAAAATCTTTATGGGACTGATCCTAGTCCCTACAGTTTCCACTGGTTCCAACTTGTGGAGTCTTGTTTACTGACCAAGAAATATTTAACTCTGAACATATACTTCTTGGAATTTCATCTGTGGGAAGTCTTTGTAGGTGAGCGAGGTTGGGATAACTGTGCTACCCTTTGTGAGTACTTCTACTGGGAAGCCCCTCTTCACGGCTCCAGATCTCACATATATTCTGGTGACATGCTTTTTCTCCAGCCTGCGGAAGCAGTAATGACCTTCCATTGGTTGCTCGTCCCTAGGAGCCCTAACATTCCTTGTTAGCGCACACAGCCTTACTTCACAAATATTCTTTTTTTTTAAAAAAAAGATTTATTTATTATACATACAGGAGCTGGGGTACAGGTCAGAGATGCTGGGGGGTGAGAGGCTTCACCAGAGACAGAGTGGGGAACAGGACAGGCAAATCTACCAAAATGCACTGCTGAAGGGAGCAGCGGGCAAGACAGGCGGGTTCTGCTGGACCATGTGTGTAGCTCCCTAGCAAGGGATCGAACTCATGCTGCAGTGGCTGTGGACAGCTCCATAACCCCTTGCGCCATCAGGGAGGCCCCATTTAAGACTTTATCTCCTTCTTTTCTTCCTGAGTTGTACATTTCCTCATTCCCTTCCCTTGTAAATAAACTTTTTGTGTGTGCCTGCAGTGTAAGTCCCTTTTAAGCACACAAGTGAGGACCCACAGTCAGGCAACCTGTTTTATATCAGGGTTGCCCTGTAACAGTTTGGCACCCAACATGGTTGACCAAGTTACACCTGTGGTTGACCAGCCCAAAGTAACTTTCCTTGCATTGTTCACCATAAGCGCACTAGGTCTGCAGGACAACAGTGTAATCTTTCTCAAGTCTTGGAAAGTCTGCTTTTATTCCTTGCGCACAGCTCTCTCTTTTGGGTGTGTTTTTGACCGAAACATGGCCTCAACCATGAGCTTACACAGTTTTATCCCTAGCTTGAGTTCTTTCAGTTTTTTCTGGCCTTGAGTTTAAGTAGACTTTTTCCATTAAATATTACCACCAGTTTTATAAATATAAATAATTTGATAAAACCTGATATATGGCATATGATTTAACTTCTGTATACATACATAGGTGGTTTATAGGCCATCCCTACTTTACAATCTGTGCTTCTGGGTGTTTTTTGGTAATGTGTATCAGTGCCATTTGCTACGTTCTTTGTTCTATGAGAGGTAGATGTTCTAATTCACATACTGAGAATGTGCAGCAACAAATTTGGGCACTTGATGTAACTATTAAGAGTATGAGGGATGAAAACCATACAGTTTTTGAGTCAGCTTTTAAAAGCATGCAGGACCAGTTACCGGCTGCCCTCCATAAACTGCATGTGGCAGAGGCTTGGCTGATGGCACAGAGAAGGGATAAACCTTCCCCTTCCCATGAGGACTGCCAGAGGGCAGAGTTAGAAGAGGAGGATTATCACATGTTAAATACCTTAAATACATCAGGACAGAGGTTTTTCTCCATGTGACAAGGCCCCTCCCTTGCAGACTCCTGAGGCTTCACAGCCTCCACTGCCCTCTAGGGAGGAAACTAAGATGGTGTCTCCTCCCCACGCTAGACTCAGCACCCATTTTGGCAGGAAGGGTCACCCTGAGGCAGGACAGTTTCCTCTCTGACAGATGCCGATGGGTGGTTTGAATGAACATGGGCGACCTGTTTGGCACTTTTGGCCACACCATCCCTTTAGCACCGTGGAGCTCCTGAATTGGAGAAGCTCTGTCCCCTTGTACTGACAGACTCTTAAGAGGATGGCAAACTTGTTTGCCTCTATCTTCCTCTCCCTCCGCCCTAACTGGGCAGATATACAGTCCATGCTACAAACTTTGCTGACTCTGGATGAGCAGAGAATGGTATTCAGGAAAGCCAGGGAGGAGGCTGACCATCTCCACGAACAGGACAGAGAATCCCCAGATCCAGAGATGGTTGTCCCAGTGGTGGATCCCGAGTGGGACCCCAACAATGGAGGAATGGCAATGTTAGAACTGTATAAAAAATGTTTACTGGTTGGACTGCAGCAGGGAATCCCCAAACAAAAAAATTTTAACAAAATATTACACTTGAACAAGGAGCTAATGAGGATCCATTGGAGTCCTTGAAAGAATTATTCAGACGTATCCCAACCACGTGGATGTAAACCCAGATGCCCCAGAAAATGCTTGCCTGATCACTATGGCATTCATCACACATGGTGCCCCAGACACATGGCTTATTCCAAACTTGCTTGGCATTATTTGGTAGCAACCAGAAAAGACCCACCAGAATCTGTAACAGAATGGAGGGTCATTGAAGATGGGTGGGCCCTGCAACGTTTGTGACCATTACTTAGAGACCAGCAGCGAAGCAGGAGGGACAAGGCCATATGCTGGTGCTCAGGTGGGGACACAGGTGCCTCAGGGGCTCAGGGCAGTGGCACCTGAGCCCGGATCAAGACGTGTCTCCATAGGAGGAGACATCTAAATTGGGACCTCGCCTCTATCCCCTGAGGCTCTGCCTCACCCTCTCCTGGCTCCGGGACCCACCTAGACTCCAGTTACAGCACAGACAACAGAACATACAGAAAATAGGAGTTCAACATAGAGAAGTGAAAAATCTGGTTTTGTTGCTATCACATATCATTCAAAGCCCCCAAGGTGTCCATTGTCATTGTCTCAGCCAGAAGTGGCCAGTGCCATGTCCCCTACCCTTCCTCTGGATGCCCAGGGAGGGTCACACCACATAGGCTCTGGGGGACGTCCTACCAGGTCCTCAAGTCAAGCTCCAGCAGGTCATTCCCTGAGGTGCTGTCACCCAGACAGCCTGGGTGCCTGGATAGCACCTGAGGGTATGGACATCACTGGCCAGCAGAGGGTCATCAGAGTCCATAACTTTACAATGAGAAGGCAACTCAGATGCCACTTGTTTAGAGATGAAGAAACTGGGACTCAAGAGAGATCAGGAGAGCCAGAACTCACAGCAGGTGTGCAGAGGTCACCTGCCAAGCTCTGCAGGAACCCCTCAGTGTCCTCCACTGTCCCTATTCCCCAAGAGATCCTTAATTATGTAAGGCTCGATGTCCATCAGGGCCTGGTAGAGGCGATCTTTGCAGGCCCGGTCCCAGGACCTGCTGAAGCTGAACAGCTTCCGCATCTGGCCCTGCTTGGTAGCCTCGGCCCTGATGATCTCATACTGCTCCTCACTCAGCACCTTCCCAAGCAGCCTGTCCAGGATGGGGTCCACTGATGTTACTCGAGCCACTAGCTGCGCTCGATACTGGTCCACGAAGTGTGTCGTCCTCGGTGCGCCTGGGGGTGATGGTGAGGCCACAGTGAATCAAGAGCAGTTCCCACTGCAGCCTGCCCTGGCCCCACTTCAAGCATCTCCATCACTTCCTCTGCACCCGGCCCTCTCCCATGATGCATCCAGCCACCATGAATATACCTCCACCCTCCCTCATGTCAGCATCCAGCCTAGCACTCTCCTTGAGCTGGGAGTGGAGCACAGTTACTGAGGAGGCACTGGGCTTCCGGTAGAGGTTCAGGCTCCATTGGCTGAGTAGGGACAGGAGGGGCCTGCCCACCCCACACCACTCTCCAGGGCCTGCCCCTGTGGGCTTGCAGGGTCTCTTCCCTCCCTCCAGAGCCACATGGTGTGCCCAGATCTGCCCCTGGCTCCCGTGTCTCTCACAGCTGACACTGACCTGTTAGGCCTGGAGGATCCAGTGCGGCTGCAGGTCTGAGGTCTCCTGAGGACACAGAGAAAAGCATTTGAACAGTGTGGGGTATTAGACCACATGATCCCCAGTCGTTACCCCTTCTGAGAGCCTGTGATTCTGATAATAAACTACAGACAGATTGTGATGGAATCTGGCATAAGGCTGGAAGGGATCTCAGAGATCATCTAGGTCAATCTTTTCTGTAGGCAAACGGGCAATGGAGGCCGAAATGTCAAAATGAGGGAGAAGGAGAGGGAGGAAGAGACAGAGACACATTGAGTAACAGTAATTTCTCTCACAATAGCCCTGACATGGTTTAATCCAGTCTCAGCCTAAATAGATCCCGGTGGAGAACTCACCATGTCCCTTACTTAATCTACTTGAGCTCTGGTATCTGAGCAGAAATTTACCCACTTGTCCTGGATGGACCTCTAGAATCTCCTAGATCAGATCCACTTTGTTCTGGATTTGCATGCCAGAACGAAAAGCTAAGATCAGGAAAAACTAATCTCATGGAAGTATTTGTACATTTCAATAGGAAAAATGACTTAGCCAACAACAAATTAACCGTCTTAAATATGACCTGCATTAGAAGGGGGAGGGACCCACATCCCTCATGTGGACGAGACCTGGGAGCTGACAGACCACACTCAGGATCACCTGATGCAGGGAGGGGCCTAGGGAGAGGGGAGCTCAGGTGTGGTGCTGGAGCACGGGGTTCATCTGGATGAAGGAGGGAGGGTGTCCCACATCCTCCACGATGACGGGTGGTCTCAGAATCCCCCTGACCAAGCCACAGACGGAGCATCTGCCGAGGAAGGAGACTGAATCTCAAAGAGTTTGACAACCAAGGGAAAGATGGACAGAGCCAGGGATGTCAGCTTCCTAAGAGGACATGCAAGGAAGCTGGGGTCATGTCCTTCATGCATCTAAGGGCTTTCCCTTGGGAAGGGACAGATTCTTCTGTCAGCTTCTGGGGACAGAGAAGACTGAGAGGAGGAGGAAACTATCTTACTGTGAGGGAGAACATCAGGGTGCTACTGTTTATTAAGGCCCACTGAACAAGACATGTGCAAAGATCACTGTGTCTAAGCTTTCAGCAGCCCTTAAGCAAGACAATCTGATCCTCATTTTACACAGGAGGCACCTGAGGCTCCAAGGGGTGAAGTAAATTTCCCAGGATCAGCCAGCAAGTAAGAGCCGGAGCGAGACTCAAACCCAGGCCTGCCCGGGGCTGGCTGGTTCACAGCTGTGGAGGCTCCCAAGCCAGGGCGGAGTCGAGTCACCCTCTTTCCTCCTCGCTGTGCTTGTGGGTGGCAGCGCAGGAGGCAGGTTCCCCACATTCCCACAGGTTGTCTCTACAAGGCCTGTTTAGGGGGTTTTGTGTCTTGGTGTTATTGGTGCTGGACCAAGAGATTGTGAAGTTTCTCCCAAATCTTGAAGGTTCTCTATTCAATTTCCTGTTTCTGCCTTGAAAATAGCTGAGTGACTCAGGTTAGAGCATTTGATGTTGCCAAAGTTGACTTAATCCATGCAACCCTGTATGTTGCTAATTCTCATTCTTTCATCTTATGTCCAAGCTATCACAGGAAACTGCCAAAGGCCTTGAGGATGTCAACAACTGTTAATTCAAGGACTGTGTGGGGACATGATGGTGTGTGGGATGGTCCATGGGGCTTAGATTCTGATTAACTGTAATTCACATTATTGCCATGCCTGTGCTACAGAACTAGAAAAACCAAATAACTTTTTAAGGCTCTTTCTTCTCCTTTGGAAACTGAAAATTTATTCTCTCTCGCTCTCTCTTTCTCTCTCTCTCTCTCTCTCTCACACACACACACACACACACACACACACACGTTGACTTTCTCCCACATCTGAGCCGTCTGGATTTGTCTTGATTTACCTGGTCTCACAAAGGCCTCCCACACCACAGTCCCATCTTCCTTGTTCTTTATTTGCAGCCGGACATTTGACTCCAAATGTCCAACGGAGATCTCACTGTAGACCTGGGTCTTCCTGGGGCTCCGATAGCAGAGCTCCAGTTCCTGAGTAGAGAAAGACCAGTTGTGTGAAAAGTCACTGTTCATCCTGCAGGTTGTCTTTCTGACACCTTCTTGATCCTACTCAGTCCTCTAGGGATACTCAGATGATCTGTCTCAAAATGAATTTCTAGGTTCACTCTGTACTTTTCCTAATTTTCCACAATTCCTGACTCAGAAGGATGATAAAATAGTTGGGTAACCCATGGATGAGTCAGGACTCATCCTGAACTGTAGTGACCACATCTCCCAGACCAGAGCCATGTTTCTCCATCTTTTCCAGATTATCGTTCCTTTATCACCTCCATCTTAAACCCCAAACCCTGACCTCTTTAATCTAAAGCATGTCTTTGGAATGAATTTGAAACTTGATCCAGTTTCCATCAGCAGAATATTTGCATTCATCCCTCTCCTACATCACATTCAAGACTGAAATCTTGATGCCCAACTCTTTCTCCAGCGGCTCCTTCTCCACTTTGCCTCAAACATAGGAAATGGCCTCATCACCCACTGATCACTCAGGTCCCTATTTAGGAATCATCTTAAAGCCTTCCTTTATCTCCCCACTTGCGGCTGATTCACAAAATCCTATTAGCTCTTTCTGCAGCACATACACTGAGTCTATCACCTTCTCTCCACCTCCACTACTGCTATGTCCTTAGTCAAACTCCCACCGCCTCCTGCCTGCAGCAGTGCAGATCCCTCTATTGGTCTCCACTTTTACTCTGCCCTCCTCTCATCCACTGCTTCCCAACAACCAGGAGCATTTTAACGGAGGGCTTGTATTTTCTTGTTTGTCATCTGTAAGGGCTTGTCTTGCACTTAGAGCAACACACGACCCAACATCAGGAGCGAGAGAGAGGATGGGTCCTGGGCAACCTGCGCCTCTTGTCTGACCCTCTTATCTCTTCCTCCTCCCTCATTACACCACCAAGCTCTTCCCTTACACTCCTTGGCCTCCTTCTTGTCATCTGAGAGATCGTCTTCCTCCCACATCTGTCCCTGTGCTCCAGAATGTCTCTGCTCAAGATGTCTCTGTGCCCAAACCTCTCTTAGCATCCAGGTCTCAACTCAAATGTTAACCTCCTTAGACTCCACTAAAAATAGTCCAAGACTCTGATGTGTTGTGGTTGTATTTTCATCTGTTTTGGTCAATTTTTAATTATTTACATAGGTTTCACCTGCCAGAATGTCAAATTCTCCAGGGCAGTGACTCGTCTGTCTTGCTCATTGAGCCACTTTGTCTCCGACAGCACCCGGCTGACACTGGGGCCTGCTGTGGGTCAGCTGAGCCAGGGCTCTTGACCCTGGGTGCTGCTGATGCAGCGAGAAATCCAAAGGCCTCATCCTTGCATTCATGTTTCCCAACTCAAGACATACAATTCACCTATGAGCAAAGCCCTCTCCCCATAAAGTCAATCCAGAGCAAATCTCCATTCCTTAGACCTTAAAACTTACTCAAACAAGGCCAAACCCTATAATAGTTTCGTTCTGACACCTTTGGCCTTGGGGCACCATGGCTCCCCATGCTGTGTGTTCTCTCAAGTCAACAAGTTCAGATCCAGCACATTTCCTGTGGTTATGGCTGAGGGCAGGGCCCCCTATAGCCCAGCCGCTCCCATGACTCCGAGTTAGACTCCATCATTGTCTCTGTTCCGCAGGTGACTCTCCCTCCCACGACTTTCTTCTCCCTCAATATCTCAAGAATTGTCCTCCAAACCCCACTCTCTGTCAGCCTCACCCCAGTACACCCTGTCCCTGGGGAGCTCTGAGACCTGCCCCACAGGTGTTTCCAAGCATGACCTCTGAGTCTAATGAGGGGGGAGCATGGGCTGCTCACCTGGGGCATTATCTCCATCTTCTTTGAACCAGACACGGTGAAGCGGGAGCCCAAATAGAGTTCGGCCTGTGGAGGCGGCTTGCGTATTTGCACAAACTGGGACTCTTTTTCTTCATCATCTATGGCCTAAGGGGCAAAGAGAACAGTGGTCGAGGGAGGAGGGGCTTCTGTCTTAGAGATCCTGCCCTTTGTTCTGAACATGGACTGAGTAAAGTGAGGAGGGGCTTCTGTGCGTTTGTGTGGGTGGAAGTGTCTATACCACCCCTGCCTCCCACACCCCATGCCCTGCCACACAGGAGCCCACACTCATCCTCTGCTGTGTTCAGGGTGGGAATCAGGTCACTGTAGAGAAGGTGAGGGTGGGGGAAGGTGACAGTCTGGGCAGGGAGCCCTCCCATCTTTTGACCTCTGGAAGGGCTGTCCAGAGTGCAGGATGGAGCAACAAACCCATGTAGAGACTTTAGGGAGACAGGACAGCAGTGTGTGTCTGAGCAGGATGATTCACCCATTTAGAGGCTCCTACTTGGCAGACACATTCTTATTCAGTGGACCCGTCCTGGGGGCTCTCTGGGTGTCTGCAGCATGAGCTGGCCTTTCTGGTCTGAGTATCACCTTCCGAATGGTGCAGTCATTTGGGATCAGGTAGAGATGGAAGTTGATTTCATTAGGACGGAGGTGATGGTAGAGCATCACAATGGAGTTGATGGAGATGAAATTCCTGGCAATTGGGAATATTCTCAGTAGAACTCCCATGGGGGAGAAGCTGGGGTTCTCCAGGACTGTGTAACACGCCTCCACCCTGGCCGGCTCCTCCAGCAGCATCCCCTCCTCTTTGAAGTGGGCCACATGGAACTGGGATATGTCCACATACTCGCCTGTCAGGAAAGGATGTGAGAGGTGAGAATGTGGTGCCCTCACTTTGCAGGCTTGGCAGAGGCGCGTGTCCCAGGATGCAGGCCTTCCTGTGTGACCCATCAGGTGAGGTAGCTTGTCTGGAACTGGGGTCTTTGGGAGCTGAGGGCAACACCACCTCTTGGGTAGAGCACCACAAGCAAACCCTGGACTAACATACATGGGACTAACCCCTAGTCCTGAAGCTGAAAATGAGCTTGGTGCCCTGGTGGCAGGTGCTGGGGACCATTTTGTAATCATGAAGATTTGGAGTGGTGCTGGTAGTTTGACTCCAGACAGGTGGAACAAGGAGGACACAAGGACAGTGGGGAAATGGAATGACCCAGTCATGTACACTTCAAACTCTTGTTTTGGGGAATGAACCCCCTCTTCTGTCCTCCACTATGATGTGACTCCTGGCAGGAAGGAGGATGCATCTCCCCCTGGGAAGCTGACCTCCCTGGTAGCTGTGACACAGGTGCATGACACCTGTGCTAAGTGGATGCTCCCAACTAGCACCTTGAGGGGTGAAGCACAGATGAAAAGACAGAGATGGTTTTGGCAGCAGCAGTGGAGTGAGGAGTCTGTGACCCCCATGGAAGGATAGTCCTGCAGTAACCGTTTCTGCAGCAGAGGTCTGTGAGTAGGTTTCCTGGAGTGAGCTTCCTTGTGTTCTTAGTTTCTCAGCTTTCTTTCTTACCATCAAGCCGGTCAGCCTTTCATTAAAAGCTTGTTGCCTTATCTTCCGTAAAGTCCCCAAGCTAGCCAATAATCACCCTATATATTCTTTTCTGCCTAATTCAACCAGAATTTATTTGATTACAAGAAATCTGACCAGGTGTGGGTAGGATGCCTCAGAGAGAGGTCCCATTTCATTGGCATTTATTTTCTGTCTTTCTTTTAAATCCCCACTTGTCAAACATTACTACTATTGCTTTACCCAGTCAATGTTTTGTTATATATTTCTCAGTATCTTTGTTAATGATTCTGTCTTAGAGGTCTTACTGTTCCTCTTACCTTCTCCTTTTGCTGAAAACAGTCTTTAGAATTTCCTTTAGTTAGGATTCATTTGTGAAAGATATCTTGTTTTAAAATGTCTATTTTGCCTTCTTCAAAAGCAAATTATGCCTTTAATTCTTTTTTTAAAAAGATTTATTCATTTATTTATTTAAGCACTGGGGTACAGTCAGAAGCAGGGGAGGGTGAGAGAATTCACCAGAGACAGAGCGGGGAACAGAACAGGCAGACCAACGAAATACACTGCTGAGGGGTGCAGCGGGCAGCAGGAGAGGTCTGTATGCCATGTGGGACCCTCGCTGGCGGCTGGGGACCAAACTGGCACTGCAGATTCGGGCAGCCCCGCAAGCCAGTGCTCAATCGCTGCACCACCGGGGAGGCCCTATGCCTTTAATTCTTGATGACAATTATTTTTTAGCACAATGATGATATTTCATTGTCTTCTGACTTCCATTGTTTTCAAATAAAAATCAGCTGTCAGTACAATTGAAGTACTACTAGATAATTTCTGACTGCTGGAAGATTTCCTTTGATTTGAAATTTTTTAGTTTCAATATAATGGATGTATTAGTGATCTCTCTCTGTCTCAATCTTGTTTTTTTATTTTCTCATTCTAACAAGTCACATAGCTAGAATTTTAGAATTCTAGAAATTTCCTTGAATATTACATCTTCTCCATTTTTCCTTATATCTTTCTGGAATTCCCATTCAATCTGTTAGGTAGTTTTATGATATCCTTCACAATATTTCATCTTCTAGTTTATAGTTTATCATATTTTCTGTCAATTTAGTTTGTTTCAAAACTAAATTTATTAGTTTTCATTGATATGTTGCTTCTAGGTCATATTTTAAAGACCGTTTCTTTAAACATTTGAAATGTTTATTATGTGTCATATTTCTAGAAATTTCAGTGTCTAAAATCTTTATGGGACTGTTTCTATCCCTACAGTTTCCACTGGTCCCCACTTGTGGAGTCTTGTTTACTGATCAAGAAATATTTCACTCTAAGCATATACTTCTTGGAATTTTATCTGTGGGAAGTCTTTGTAGGTGAGAGAGGTTGGGATAACTATGCTACCCTTTGTAAGTACTTCTACTGGGAAGCCCCTCTTTCATGGCTCTAGATGACAAATGTATTTTGGTGACACGGTTTTTCTCCCAGTCTGTGGGAGTAGTAATAATCTTCCATTGGTTGCTCATCCCTAGGAACCCTAACATTCCTGTTAGCTCATGTAGCCTTACTTTGCAAATAGTCTTGTTTTTGAAAATCTCTTGAAAAATCTCAACTGAGTGTATCATTTTTTCCTGTGTGGTAGCCTGATTGACACAACTTATATAAAAGCGATACTAGGTGTTATTTTTGTTGTGGAGACTAGTTCTATTTAGGAAAACTTTCCAGTAATTATGGTGCTGGGAGAAAAGAATGTTTCAAAAAATATAGGTCAGAGCATAATGGAATGAGGAAAAAGCTGTCTCCACTTTCATTAGCCTCATTCAGTCTCTGTAAGGAAGCCACCTTCCCCAGGACATCTCCATCAGAAGTCCCTTGCTAGCCTTTTATTACCCCCACCACCTTCCTCCACCCTCTCTCTGCTTACCTTGGAGGGACACAAAGTGAGGCAGATACACAGCTGCCACGGCTCCTGGCTCAGCCTTGATGTCAAACAGAGGGCCTGCCACTGTCAGGTTTTCCTCAGGGTCAATCATATCCAGGAATGGGTCCCAGGAACAGAATTCAATCTCGATGGTCACTGGCCTTCTCACCACAAAGTGGAGATCTGTGTTGGGCCAGTGGTAGGAGCCGGCCGTGGGGAAGTGAACTCTGGGAAGAGTGAGGAGAGGTAGACCCTGAATCACTCGACACAAATTCATGAGCCCCTGCTGGATGCCAGATCCCTTGCAGGGCGCAACAGATGCGGCTGTGTGCCTGCAGGTTGGAATCAGATGTGTACGAGTGTGAGCCCAGTCTCCTGTGCACTAGGCTCACAGTGAATCTCTGAGCAAGTCATCACACCTCTTTCTCCTCATTTTTCTCATCTGTAAACAGGGACTACAATGACATCTCTCAGCATCTACTCAGAGTTGTGTAATGAGTGACAGTGTCATGGGGACACCTTAATCTATGCCTGGAGTGATTAGTTGTTTCTCCATTGATGATAATGATGATAAAACAGGAAAGTGTTCTTGTCTTTAAGGGGATCATTTGTCAAGAATAACAATCAACATGCTAATATCAATGATAAACACTTGAGGATGGAAACAATTTATGGAGCTTCTAAATGTGGCAATGGTGTGGTCCCTGGATGCCAATTTCTGTAGTGTTAGTTGGGAATGACATTACTTTTCAGCTGAGAAAATCGGTGCCACTGACTTCGCATTTGTCAAGGACAATGTATTATGTGAGAAACCATAATCATGACTGTAGACATTTATTCCTTGTGACTGGGAACCCTTAGGGGACAGTATTGCATTTTCACCTCTGGGTTCCCTGTTACTAGTTTGGTAGCGAGCACATAGTGGATATTAATAAAACGGGAGCATATAATGAAACTATATTAAATGAGATTTAATAGCCACAACAAACCAAACAGAATGTGTCTGCTTTGGAGCCTGTTGAGCAAACCACCTGCAGGACAAACTATAGACAACTGAGTACATTTGAATATATACTGGCTATCATGAAAGACTTATTGTAAACTTTGTGGGTGTGGCAATGGCACTGTGTTTTGGCATAAAAAGTATTTGTATTTTTAAAAAGTGCATCATAAATATTTAAGAATTAAAACCACCTGCTCTCATAGATTTGAAATACTGTACAATGACAAAAAAGTGGGTAAGTCAACATTTGAAACAAATTTGACACATCAGTTATGGAAGCTGGGTTATGAGTAAATGTCAGAGTCTAGTCTATACTAGGTTTTGTTTGGAATTAAAAAAAATATTTATTTTATTTATTTATACATAAGAACTGGGGTGTAAGCATGAGGTGTGTGTATGTGGTGGGGGAGGCAGGGCGTGAGAGGAATCACCAGAGACAGTGTAGGGAGCAGAACAGGCAGATCCATTGAAATACACTGCTGAGAAGGGCCTCCCCCATGGCGCAGTGGTTGAGTGCTGGGCTGCGAAGCTGCCTGCAGCCTCTGCAGCACCAGTTTGATCCCCAGCTGCCGGCAAGGGTCCCATATGGTGCGCAGACCTCTCCTGCCACCCGCTGCTCCCCTCAGCAGTGTACTTCGGTCCTTCTGCCTGCTCTGCTCCCCGCTCTGGCTCTGGTGAATTCTCTCACCCTCCCGCGCTTCTGACTGTACCCAGTGCTTGCATCAATAAATAAATAAATCTTAAAAAAAAAAAAAAGAAATACACTGCCGAGGGGAGCAGCAGGTGAGACAGGAGAGGTCTGCTGTGCATGTGGGTCACCTTCTTGGTAGGGGAACAAACTCGTGCTGCAGTGGCTGCTGATACCTTCATTGTGCTGAGACTTAACCTCTTGCGCCACCAAGGAGCCTCCTGGTTTTGAATTTTTATAACAGACCTCTTTTTGCATAATTATAGTAATCACCCAGTATCTCAACCTATTGCTTATCTGGTGACTTGTTAGTGGAGAGGATTCCCTGGGACAGTGTGGGGACCCAGTGTGGGGTGCTGGGGGTCACAGAGCCAGACAGAGCCAGGCAGAGCACCCTCACCCCCTCCTCACTCACCGGTACATGCTCTTTTCTTGGTCAATCACCTCGATAGCAACATGTCCTGTGGGGCCCAAGAACTCATCTTTGGTCATCAGAGTCTCCATGTTCAGATCCCCTAAAGGGGCAAGAGAAGACAAATAGGATTCTACTTGTGCTACTTGACTGGGGCTTCCCTCTGGGATAGGCATGACAGTGGTCAATGCGAGGATCTCCTGTCTGCTGTCCTGTCGCCCAAGAGCTGGAACCTGGAGGGGCCCCACGCAAATCTGGTTTGCTGGACCATGGCAGGGAGTGTGCTGCAGACTCCACTCCTGCCCATGAAGCGCCTGCTGAGGAGACCTGACCCCACTGCCCTCTGATCCAGCTTTGCCCCCTCTCCCCTTTCCCCCTGGTCCTTAAGGGCTGCTCTCCTCAACATGCTCCAGGCTGGCAGCTTATGAGATGAATAGTACTCTAAAAGTGAATTATCAGACACAGTGAAGTGATTCCAAGACCTCAGAAGCCCCGAGTGGGCCTTGGGAGGTGGGTCCTGGTTCAGAATCTGAGACGGGACAGATGTTTAGGAGAGGAGCTTCTACCAAAGCTGGGGGAGATGAAAGCAGAAACCCACCTGGTGGGAGCAGTGGAAGAGCTTGCAAAGGGCAGGGCTCTTGTAGGAGAGTGTCCTGTCCCGCCCCACACCAGAGAAGGGGGAATGTTGAGAATGAACTTCCTCTTCTGCTGCCCCTCTACCACCCCATGAGGCTCCTTCAAACTCTCTGATTCTGGTCCCTGCTGCTCGAGGGCAGATGCGTTATCACTCATGTCTCCTCCTCTGGGGTTCTCCTCAGGGGTCGTCACACTTGGCTTCCTGGACACAGAGTTGTTCCCTCTCTCTGGGGTCTGGGAGGAAGCTGGACTGTCTCCACACCCTGCTTCAAGCCACTCATCCACATTTGAATTCTTCATCCCTCCCTGTCTCCTGTACTCCATGTCTCTATGAAACTTTCCCCCATTAACCCACCTACCCTCACCAAAACTGGGGTGTCATCTAACTCTTCCCTCACACATGCTTCTTTCTGTTCCTTTCTCTCACCTGCTCAGCCTCCACCCTAATCCCAGAGCCTGGCCTCTTTGCTGGAACCACTGTAGAGTTACTCGCTCTTGTCCTTCTCAGTCCTTCGTCCTAAGCATGGGCCTGGCCCATCATATCACTGCTGAATCCCTGATATATTTCTCCATTGTTCTGGTTAAAAATGAAAGTATTTTTTGTGCTAAGATTTAATTTAATTTATCTTTTTTATTTTACATGTATTTTATATCATTCTGCCTTTTTGTACAATGTATGCTTTCTACTCTCAGGTGTAAAAACTGTGAATTTCCAAACACCAATTCACTTGTGCACTATCGCCATAGTCTCCCTTGTGCTTTTTTCTCTCCAGTTTTGATGGCTCTCCCTCCCCATCACCTGCAGAATGTTTCTGATTTATAGTTGTTTTTTTAATTTATTAGTGGATTCTAGTCTATACTAGGTCTTGTTTGGAATTGATACCTTGTATAGTTCCCCTACATTCCTCCTATAAGTGAAACCCTCCAATATTTTTTTTTCAGGCTTATTTCATTGAGCACAATCCTTTCCAGCTCTGTCCACGTTGCCGCAAATGGCATGGGTTTATCTTTTTTTTTTTAATTGCCACTAATATTCCATTGTGTATATATACCATATCTTCCTGATCTAGTCATCTATTTGGGGGCATTTGGGTTGTTTCCATATCTTACCTATTGAGAATAGAGCTGCAATAAAATAGGGGGTCCGGGTATCCTTTAGAATTAATGTTTTTCTGTCCTTTGGGTAGATTCCCAGGAGTGCAATGGTTGGGTCATATAGTAGCTCCAAATAAATGAAAGTTTTTAATATGAATCAAAAGTCCCTATTGTGCTTCTGCTTCCCACACCTGTGCCCTCCTCCAGTTCACATACCTCTAGATGCATGATTGCAAACTTGTTTTAAAAATCAACTGGAGGACAGAAAAACTACAAAATAATAAACCAGTTTCATAAAGTAGCAGGATACAAAATGAGCACAAAAACCAGTAGCCTTCCTATTGCAAAAAATCAACCTGAAGAAGAAGAAATTAAGAAAACCATTCCATTTACTATTGAAGCAAAAAATTAAATAGCTTGGAATAAACTTAACCAAGGAGGTGAGTGACCTATGCAAAGAAAATTATAAAACTTTGTTAAAAGAAACAGGAGAAAACACAAACAAATGGAAAGACATCCCCTGCTCATGAATTGGAAGAATTAACATTATTAAAATGGCCATCCTACCAAAAGCAATTTACAGATTCAATGCAATCCTGATAAAAAAAAAACTCAATGACATTCTTCAAACAAATAGAACAAATATTGCTGAAATTCATTATGGAGCCAAAAGAAACCTGAAGTAGTCAAAACTCTCCTGACTAAAAAGAAGGAGAATGGAGCTATCATACTCCCAAACTTCAAACTATTCTACAAATCCATAGTAATTAAAACAGTGTGGTACTGAAACAAAAACAGACACACAAACCAATGGAATAATGTAGAAAACCCAGAAATAAAGTCACACATATATAGACAACTAATCTTTGACAAAGGAACAAAGAATATGCAATGAAACAAGGAAAGTTTGTTCAATAAATGGTGATGGGAAAACTGGACCACCATATGCCAAAGAATGAAACTAGACTACTACCTCAAAAATCAATTCAAAATGGATAAACGAATTGCAATAAGCTCTGAAACCATAACATTACATGACATATATCTATGTAACATCTTTAAAGACTCATTCCTCAAAGCAAGGAAAGTGAAGGAAAAGTTAAATATCTGGGATCACATCAAACTAATAAGTTTCTGTACATTAAAAGAGACATTAACCAAAACAAAGAGACATCCTATGGATTGGGAGAAAATTTTTGCACCCATACAACTTATAAAAGACAGATCACAAAATTTACGAAGTACTCACACTACTCAACAAAAACAAAGTAAACCATCCAGTCAAAAACTGAGGAGAAGAGCTAAAAAGACACTTTTCCAAAGAGGAAAAGCAAATGGTCAACAGGCATATGAAAATATGTTCAACATACCTCATTATCAGGGAAATGCAAATCAAAACCACAATGAGATACCACTTTACACCAGTGAGAATGGCACATATTAAAATAACTAGCAACAACAAATGTTGGTGAGGATGTGGAGTAAAGGAACTTTTCTATACTGCTGGTGGGAGTGCAAACTGGTCCAATCACTATGGAAAGCTGTCTGGAGGTTCCTCAGTCTACTAAAAATGGAGCTTCCATATGATCCAGCAATTTCACTCCTACATATCTACCCAAAGGTGCAAAGTCAGCAGTAATTAACAAAAACATTAATTCAAAAGGACACATTTACCCATATGTTTATTGCAGCACTATTTACAATAAATAAGGACACATTTACCCATATGTTTATTGCAGCACTATTTACAATAAATAAGTTATAGAAACAACCCAAATGCCCTAAAATAGATGGCTGGATCAAGAAGATGTGGTATATATCCACAATGGAATATTATTCAGCAATCAAAAAAGATAAACGTATGCCATTCGTAGCAACATGGGTGGAGCTGTAAGGGATTATGCACAATGAAATAAGTTAGAAGGAAAAAGAGTAATATCGATGGTTTCACTTATAAGAGGAATGTGGGGGAACTAAATAAGGGATCAGGGAAAAATAATCACAGGAAAAATAATATCAGGAAAAATAATAACAATAAAAGCGCAACAAAACAAAAATAAACACACAATATATATTAAAGACATTCTGCCACGGAGTGGGAAGAGGAGGGATCAAAAAGAGTGCAGGAAAAGCACAAGGGACTTTGGTGATGGTGCACGTGTGAATTGGTGGTGGAAATTCTATAGGGACTACAGGGCCTCCCAGGTGGTGCAGGCAGTTGAGCACCACACTGTAAAGCTGTCCAAAGCCTCTGCAGTGTGTGTTGGATTCCCAGCTGCTGGCGAGAATACCACATGGCGCAGCAGACCTCTCTTGTCTCACCCGCTGCTCCCCTCAGCAGTGTATTTCGTCAGTCTGCCTGTTCTGCCCCCCACTCTGTCTCTGGTGCATCCTCTCACCCTCCTGCGCATCTGGACTGTACCCTGGTTCTTGTATAAAAATAAATAAATCTTATAAAAAAATAAATTCTATAGGGACTACAAATGAGAAAAGAAAGCAAACATTGTACCAAAATGAACAATTATGTAAAATATAAATAAATAAATAAATAAATAAATAAATTAATTAATTAAAAAAATACTCCTGAAAAATAAATAGGTCAAAGAAGATATGACATGAGAAAAAAAAAATCATGAAATGAATGAAAGTGGAAACACAACACACCAAAACATGTGGAAGGCAGCAAAAGCAAGGATGATTGGGGGGGCTGCTTACACTAATATATGTGTGCATTAAGATAAAAGAATGATATATGTAACCTAACTTTATACCTAAGGATCTAGAAAATGAATGAACCAAGGTGCAAAGTCAGCAGCAATTAAAAGAGTAGGTGTCTAAAATAGACACATAGACAAATGAAACAGAATTGAGAGCCCAGAAATAAACTCTTGCCTATATGATCAACTGAAATTTAATAAGAGAGCCGAGAATAATAATGGCAAAAATTTAATTTCTTAAATTAGTTTTGCTGGGAAAACTATCAATAGATGTCTACATGCAAAAGAATGAAATTGGCACCTTACCTTACACTGCTCACATCCTTGACAGCTGAGTTTTCTCTTTACACAGAGCAAGTGCCTGCTCTTTACTTAAGCAAGTGGCTTAAGCTTTGATTGCCTCAGTGTCCACTACAAAGAGGCATCTAGTTCAAACAAGACTATTTTGAATAAGCACATTTCCTGACACACAACCAGATAAAGAGCTGTGGAACTTCTGCATAGAGCTTCCTTTGTTTTAGAGATCTTAGCTGAGTTCATTAACTGGCCATTTGAGTCACTTTCTTTTTCACTTTTGATTCTTTCAATTTCTTCTCTTATGTTTTCAATTAAGCAATAAAAAGAGATCATGAAAGACTGGGTCCCTACCTCAACCACACTAAAAGCAGAATCCAGGCCTGATATCTCTCTGTCTCTCTCCCTCTCTCCCCTACCCCCTCTCCTTGTGGCCTCATTATGTAGCCCCAGGTGTGGTGTGCAAATTCCAAGGATTGTAGAGTAATAAATCTTTATTTTTCCAAGGTTTCCTGGTGGTTACTGCTGAAGGGTGTCTTGCCATTTGTATTGGTTGTTGATTAAGTGGAAGATGGCACAAAACACAATTAAAAATGGATTAACAACTCAAATGGGATATCTGAAACCATAACAATCCTAGAAGAAAACAGAGAGAAACATTTCCTTGACTTTGGTCCTGCCAATGTTTTTGTCTATGGCAAAAGTGACCGAACTAAAAATAAAGAAGTAGGACTATATCCAAAGGAAAACTACTGTGCAGTAAAGGAAGTGATCAACAAAATGAGAGGACAACCCATGGCGTAGGCAAAAATTTTGCAAATTACATGCCAGAGAAGGAGTTCATATCCAAAATGTATAAAAAATAAAAATCAATAATCCAATTAAAATTTGATAACAGATTTGAAGAGACATTTTCTAAAAGTCAATATGCAAATGATCAAGTTCACAAAAAGGGCTCAGTATCACTTATATCAGATAAATGCAAATCAAAAGTGGAAGTGAGAGACCATGTCACACTGGTCTGCAAGGTTATGACCAAAGTCAAGAGGTAGCAATGGTGAGCGGCGGGGAGGAGGGAACGGGGTGGGGATCTCTCAAAGCAGCAGCGGGTGCAGGAGACATCCCTGCCCAGGAACGTGGATCTGGGTTCCATGGCTCTGTCTCCCAGGGCTTGTGTCTCCAAGAGAGCGCAGGTGACACCCCTGAAGCCTTTGCAGTCCCCTCCCCCAACCTCTCCTGGTGCTCACAGGAAAACAACACTCAGACAGACACTGCTGGACAAATACCCTGATCTGGGACCCAGGATATGCACACCCTGTCCTGGGTCTGTCTCCGCCTACCTGTGTGAGTTTCAATGCCTCTCTGAGCCTCAGGTCTCCCTGTCTCATAAAGAGCCTCTGCCCCCTGGGGCTGCTGGAGCAACAGCAGCACAGCAGCAGCAGCAGCAGCAGCAGCATCTGGCTCCTGTGTACTGAGCACCTGCTTGATGTTAGGTATGTGCCGAGTGTTTACCGTGGGGTCTCTTCACCCTCACACAGTCCACAGCGCAGGCTCCTGCTCTCCCATGTCACAGATGGGGACCCTGAGGTGGAGCAGGGAAGGGGGAGATCCAGGAGGCCAGGCTAGAGTCTCCCTGGGAGCTGACAGGACACTTACCCCCTCCCTCCCAGGGCCCCTCTGAATGTCAGCCTCCTCTTCTCTTGGCTCTGAGCACCCCTCTCGGGCAGGTGAGGGCACATGAGGTGCTGGGTATGCACTTGGCAGAGGAGGGGTCCTGTAAGTGCTGCCTCCTCTGGTCCCAGATCCACCCTTTATAGGGGACCCCAGTCACTGACTAGAAGAAGGTCTAGGAGGGTTCAGGGGTGGGCCCGAGGCGGTAGAGGTGGTGGGGGGAGAGAAGATTGACCACAGACAGAGGGCACTTTGTCTACTCACTTGATGGAGAAGCCTTATCTACTGGGGCACGAGCCGGCAGCAACAAGGGTGCCTCTGGGTCATATGTCCCACTCCTTTGGGACAAGTGTGAGGTCGGCTGCTCCTGGTCTTCACAGTCCACAAAAACCTTAGCTGGATCAGGGACATTCACTGTGGAGGAGGGGAGGGGGTACCATTGAGGAACATGACGCAGGCAGGGAACTGTGTCCCCATGGTCCCACCATCTCCCAACGCAAGCCTCCACTGGGATCATTCCTCTCCTGGGGAAGCTCCTACCCAGCACTCACTCAGAGCCCAGCTTCTCACACCCCAGGGAACCTGCTAGTAGGTGGTGTTGGGGAAGGAAGGAGAAGGGAGGAGTAGAAAAGCCATAGTAAGGAGGAGCCCTGGGGAGTGGGAGACACTGGACAAGGTCAGGAGACCTGGGGTCCAGGAGAGAGAGGTGGGGCTTATTCAGGATCCCTGATGGAATGGGAGCATGAGGAGGGTGGGGGTGATACTCACTGTTCTGTGTCCTCTGAGTCTTCCCTCTCCTGGACCTGGACTCTGGGGTCTTAGCCTGGAGCTTTGATGCTGACAGAAGGTGGGGGTTTCAGGGGATCGAGCTCAGAGTATCCACCTCCAGGTCTCCTCAGACCTCTCCTGGCCCTGGGACACCAACTGAGAAGAACAGGCCTCAAGCAGCAGAGCAGGAAGTCACTGAAAGGAAATCACACTGGCGTGTCGCCAGGGGAGGGGAGGAGTCAGGGCAGTCCTGCTAAGGGCAAAGATTTGGAACAGGACATCCACAAAATCCACCTCCACAGGCAGGCCAGATTCGTGGAATTGGGGTACTCACCATGCTGGGCAGGGAGCCCTGAAGCATACAGGTGCAGATGACTTCAGAGTGGTGCCCCACCAACCCCCACCCCGCAACATGCATGTAGAGCTGGGTGTGGGCTTTCTAGGGAGGTGGGTGTGGGGTGCAATGCAGCTCTCAAAATGAAACTACTGCCGACCCAGGGAACATTGTTCCAGCCATGCCTGGTTTTCAGGGTTTCCTGAGCCCCATTGCAAATCCTGTGAAATATGAGGGTCACTGAGGTATATATTCCAGGCCAGGTCTGCTTTGCAGGCAGCGCAGGGCTCAGCAAATCAACATTCCCATGTGAAGCAGAGCTGGGGAAAGCGGGTGCCAGAGTGACATCCCCTGGCCCTTTCCTGTTGAGGAATCGTTTCTGGAGGTGCCTGGCTTGACCTGGGCTGGAGGGGCCAGGCCTGAGTTGCTGTAGCTCAGACTTGCTTGGACACTGACTCCTTGGGTAACTGATTCATTGCCTTGGACCTCAGTTTTCTCACCTGTTAAAGGGGCCCTCTTAAGTCATCCAAGAGGTTCAAATTAAGCAAAAGCTCATAGTAAGCTTTCAACATTTTATATAATGATTATATCTATTTTCAAAGGACAACACACACTGGAGGACATTCTGACAGCAGATTCACCAGGAGCTGGAAGTGCTGCCCTAAAGGAGGGATGATGTCAGGAAGATTAATTTGAGGCTCCATGGGGGACCCTATGACTCCATGTATAGAGAAGTTTATTCTGGAAGAGGGGTTTTGATGCAGTTACAAATGACCAGTCTCTCAGATACTTTAACAAGTTTGTCTTTCTGTTATTTCTTGCAATTTCCCCCTTGCTTGCCAGGTTTGTCTTCCTGCATTCCAAGGAAAACGAGTTAAAAAGCAGTTGTTGAAGAAAGCAAGCTGGTAGCCACCCTTCTCTGTGCTTGCACCGTCACCCTACCCTTTGCAGACCGGCCCATCTCCCCTTTTTTCCCTGTGTATAAATAACGCTGCACTCTGCCAAACAGCAGGATGGCGGTCTTTCAGACACAAGCTGCTGCCCTCCTCATTTGTCGACAAATTAAACCACTTTCCTTTCCTCAAACTCTGTTTCCTTTTATTGGCTGAGGGAAACTGAGGCTGGCATTTGGTATCAGTTTGGGTTTTTTTCTCCTGACACCAGGTTTCTGGGACACCAGCTGTTATCCTACAACTCACTTCAACACAGGACCCAGGGCTCAAGGGCTTAATCCCGTACTGCAGGACTACTCCCTACTTCAGATGGCAGTTGCAAATGAGGTGCCCTGATTATCCACCCCATTTGTCTTACCACCCCACAAATGGTTTCAGGTTGGATAGTTTCCTAGACTGACTCTCAGGACTCAGGAGCTGTCTCCTTACTGGTTTATGATGCAGGTTTCTGGCTCAGAACCCACAAAAGGACGCAGCATAGGGTGAGGGGTGGGAAGGATCAGGGGCTTTTGAGTCCTGTTCAGGGGTGTCCCTTCGAGCACCTCTGTGTTTCACCAGCAAGGAAACTCTAGCCTGAAAAGGTTTTTTATTTTTAGGTTTTATTGAATGGGCAGGATTGATGAAATATTTGGCTTTAGAGAGGAGCCTAATCTCAGCCCCTCTCCCTGGAAGCGTCAAGTAAAACTGTGAGTGCCAGGGGCATCTGAGGGCCAGGAAGGTGTTCTTCAGATGCCATTTCTCAAGACTGGAGCTTTGGGTCAGGGACCTCCCAAAATGCCTCTGGAACTGAGAAAGGGCTATCCCCGCTGTCAGAGGTGAGCTGATAAGCATGCAAAAGCCAGGCCTTGCACTTGACGAGATTTGGAACCCAGAGGGGGATCCATCAACTGTTGGGGTGGACCATGGGACCTCAAGACCCCCTCTGGAATTAAGTGAAAACAGGGGGAGGGGATTTTCAGGGTCAGCGTCCATCAACATATCCATAGTACCACTGCCCTACTGGAGTCCTGGTGAAACATTACTGGACTCCTTCAGACTACCATTTTCCACATCCCAGAAGGAGCACCCCAAAGAGATGCTGGCCAGTACCAGCAATACAGTGTCCCAACACATAGGACAAATTAGAAAACAAACAGCAGGGAGAAGAAAAATGACAAACAACCAAGCGTGTCAAGAAAAGACACACCACAAAGAGAAAACCAACCACCAGATTGCAACAACAGTGACTTGGAAGAACTTCCGAACCTTCCAGAGAGAGAATGTAAAATCACCGTGATTAAAAAACTGAAAGTACATGAAAAGTAAAAAAATGATATGAGACAAATAATCAATGATCAGAGGAATGAAATTGAGTCTATAAAGAGGGAAGTGAGAGAAATGCAAGAGATCAAAGGACTCACGGAGGAGCTAAAGAACTCTGGGAAAAGCAATGAAAGCAGAATAGATGAAATAGAAGAACGAATAAGTGCTCTCGAAGACAGAAGTAAAAAGAACCAAAACAGAAAAGGAAAGAGAAGTACAAAGGAAGAGACTGAAGAAAGACTTTGGGAACTATCTGACTCCATGAGGAAAGGAAATATAAGAGTTATAGGAATCCCAGAAGGAGAGGAGAGAAACAGGAACAGAGAAAATATTCAAGGAGATAATTGGAGAGAACTTCCCAAACGTGAAGTAGGAGATGAAAATAGACATACAAGAAGCCAGAAGAACACCAAACTTGTATGATGAAAGGAAAAATACCCAAGATTCATAATAGTAAAGCTCCTGAGAATCCAAGAAAAGGAAAAAACAGTGAAGCTGACAAGAGGGAAGAAACAGATAACGTACAAAGGAAAACCAATCAGGCTGACATCACACTTCTCTGAAGAAACACTACAGGCAAGGAGACAATGGAGGAACATAGTCAACAAAATCCAAGAGAACAAATGCCAACCAAGAAAACTCTATCCCGCAAAGCTTTCTGTCCTCTATGAACAAAGAATAAGGACTTTCTCAGACAAACAAAAACTCCAGAATTTCATTATGACTAAACCCTCAGTCCAAAAAATACTACAAGAAGCTCTGAAGCCAGAAACAACAGAAGGATGAATAAGAATGAAACAAGACAAGGAATAAAACCACAAAAAGACAAACAAAATGGCAAATACACATGCAAACATATCAATATTAATTATAAATGAAAATGGACTAAACTCATCAATAAAAAGACACAGAGTTGTAGGCTGGATTAAGAAATGGAACCTAACCTTTTTCTGTCTTCAGGAAACACATTTAACTACAAAAGATAAAAATAGACTGAAAGTAAAAGGATGGAAAACAATCCTACAAGCTAATGGACCAAAAAAGAAGGCAGGAACAGCTATACTTACATCAGATAAAGTAGACTTCAAACTATAAAAGGTAAAAAGAGGCCCAGACAGTCACAACATTATGATTAAGGGGACAATGCACCAAGAAGACATAACACTCATCAACATATACTCACTAAATGAAGGAGCACTAAAACATATCAGACTACTATTATCATCTCTGAAAACAGACATTAGAGAAAATGTATGTATAGTAGGAGATTTCAACATGCCACTCTCAACAATGGATAGATCAATAAGACAGAAAATCAGTAAGGACACTGAAGTTCTAAATAAGGATCTAGACCTCATGGGCTTAACAGACATCTACAGAACACTGCACCCCCCAAAAAATCTGAGTACACATTTTTCTCAAGTGCACACTGATCATTCTCCAGGATCGATCATATACTGGGACACAAGACAAACATCAACAGATACTCTAAGACTGAAATCATACCAACTATCTTCTCTGACCATGAAGGCATCAAACTAGAAATAAACCATAAAAAGGGCAAGGAACTCTCCTATCTCATGCAGATTGAAACCCACATTACTGGAAGACCATTGAATCAATGAGGAGATCACAGGAAAAATTTTAAAAAAACTTGAGGCAAATGATGAGGACACAACTCTCCAGAACATATGGGACACACAAAAGCAGTTATAAGAGGAAAATACATAGCAATTCCTGCTCTCATCAAGAAGCTAGAAAGAACTTAAAAAAACAACCTAATCTCCCACCTAAAAGAACTGGAAAAAGAACAACAAAAACCTCTCAAAAGCCAGGAGAAGAAATGAAATAATAAAAATCAAAGCAGAAATAGAAATTAAGAAAACAATCTGAAAGATCAATGAAACCAAAAGTTGGTTCTTCAAAAAAATATACAAAATAGACAAACCCCTACTAGGCTCACAAAGAAAAAAACGGGAGAAAACAATGTTCAACATACCTCATAATCAGGGGAAATGCAAATAAAAACCACAATGAGATACCATCTTAAACCAGTGAAAATGGCACATATTAAAAAAACTAGCAACAACAAATATTGATTAGGATGTGGAGAAAAAGGAACTCTGCTACACTGCTGGTGGGAGTGCAAACTGTTCCAACCACTATGGAAAGCTGTCTGGAGGTTCCTCAGTCTGCTAAAAATGGAGCTTCCATATGATCCAGCAATTTCACTCCAAGGTATCTACCCAAAGGACACAAAAACATTAATCCAAAAGGACACCTGTACCCCTATGTTTTTGCAGCACTATTTACAATAAATAAATTATGGAAACAACCCAAATGCCCAAAAATAGATGACTGGATCAAGAAGATGTGGTATGTATATGTAATGGAATATTATTCAGCAATCAAAAAAGATATTCTCATGCCATTTGCAACAACATGGACGGAGCTGGAAGGGATCATTCTTAGTGAAATATGCCAGAAAGAAAAAGAAAAATGGGGCCTCCCCTGCTGGTGCAGCAGTTGAGCACTGGGCTGCGAAGCTGCCCGCAGCCTCTGCAGCACTGGTTCATTCCCGCCTTGGGGAGGGTCCCACATGGCGCT